AACGCTGAGCGCATCCACGCACTACTCTCCAAATGTGCAAAATGAGACTGAATTCTCCGCTAGAACATGGAAAGATACATTGCAATCTATTTTGTCTTTCGTGCATGGCCTCGCCAGAATTTGAACGCATACGCTCCAAATCCAAAAACGGCCAACAGCAAAAACGACACACGAAACGACAAAACCGACGGGGTTGCAGAGAAAAAATGGAACACAAAGCAACAGACAACCCACAAAAACTAAGGGGCGGTAGGCAGGTAGTGTGAGGAAAAAAATTGAGAGAAAAAAAAAACTAAGGGGCTCGCCACACAGGCTGTCGAAAACCGACTTTTCGACAGTTTTGCATCGCCGCACATACTTTCGACGAATTCTGGTTCAGAAATTTTTGGACAGGTGTCAGATGTGTGCTTTCGACAGCCACTGTCGAAAACTCGTTTCCTCCCGCTGGGCTTTCGAAAATTGCGTTCGAATTTGGGTTGGCAGAGACTGCTCCCTGACAGCCGTGGCCTGTTTGTCCGTATGTAGTCAACAGTTGCTGTCGAAAACGGCGTCGACATCTGGTCCGCTTGCGCACACAAACTCATCCATGTAACAACTCCCGACGACAGGCGACCGCCTTCGCCACACAGCACCTGTCGAAAGGCGGCGTCGACTTGCCAACTTTCGACAACCTCGCCCCCTCGACAGGCTGTGTGGCAATAGGGGGGAAAATTGTCGACGGCCAGACTGTCAAAAATTTACTGACACCTGTTGAAAATTTTCGGCTTTCGAGACAGCCTGTGTGGCGAGCCTCTAAAAATCGCACATGACCTGCTATGTACTTGCAAACGAATGCAAAAGTACTACAGTACCTTGTACTCGACCAACTGTGGGCGGCATGAGAAAACTGACCTGAACGGAAACCGGAAAAAAAAAAAAAAAAAAAAAAAAAAACACCACATCTCGCGAACAGAGGGGGTGTCATTCCGGGCCTTCCCCAAAAAGTCGCTTTTCTTGGCCAACATGGAAAAACCCCAAGTGCTGAATAGGTGGCAAGTTGGCAACACAAGGGGCCCCATTCCCAACTCAGGTCCTCTCTTTCCTTCTTAAGTTTTTACCTTTCACACCCTCCGGCTTCTCTCCTTTTCCATCAGGGGTACCACACCCCCCTCACGCACTTTTACGGTAGACTTGGCCCTTCGTCACTGTAGCAGCTACGACCTTGACCTTTCAGGACTGCAGCAGCTACGACCTTGACCTTTCAGAAATTCTACAGCCACGACTTTTAGTTCTAGAACTCGCTAAGACCTCTATTTGACAGGTCTACAGATCGAACCCCTACGACCTACGGACCCTACGACAGCCTACCAACGGTTACGAATACACAGGTCACAGGTTCGACTCTCGAGGTCTACACAGGTAGTGTACACAGGTAAGGTAAGGACTAGGGATCGAGCCCTGGGATCTGCACTCGCTACTGCTAGCAGGCGAATACGGTTTCACTCCGGCTTCTCTCCTTTTCTGTCAGGCATACCACACCCCACTCACACACTTTTATTGGCCCATTACTTTCGGAAGTCGTGCCCCGGAAGGGATCAACGACAACCCCCTACTAATCTAGTTGTTTGCAAGATTGAGCCTAGAAGGCTAGAAGCGGCGGGTGCAAGAACGATCGGGAGAGTCAGCGACAACAAGGAAGCGTCCTCAGGAACGATTCTTCAGAAAAGCCGGGAGCTCTGGGAGATTTAAGGATGTTTCAAAGACCGCGAGGCGGCAGGATTCCAATGGAGTTTAACGTGCGGTGCACGAACTGTGGGTCGGAACTACGATGGGTCTGTGTGATAGGGCAGTGCCATCAGCCTCAAGAAGGTGATGTGATAAGGTATTGAAAACGAAGGACTCGGATCTCAGGAACGGACAGGAATATTCGTAGTTCAGGGGGGGATAATCAGGATAATGTGGATGACGATTGGCATAATGATGACGTTAATGATTTGGATGACGATAATGGTGACATGAATCGTTGGAATCAGAAGACCGGGGATGGCGATAATGACGGTGATAGTGAATGCTTGGAACCAGTGGAATCACCTCAGAACGATGGTGATGATGATGATGATGATGATGATGATGATGACGACGATGACGACGATGATGATGATGATGATGAAGAGAACAGTGGTGATATGAATCCTTGGAATCAGAAGACGGGGGATGAAGAAAGGGAAGGTGATAACGCAGGACTGGGCTATACAGTTCACTGCGATAAGAAGAGAAGTGAAGACAGGAGAGTGTATTTTAAAGATTCCAACGACATGAAAGGCAGTGAGCAGAAGGACGGCGAAGAGAACAGTGTTGAAAAAGCTCGTAACCGGCAGGGGGAGGAGAGTTCCTTGGAGCAGAGAGAGAATGTTGTGTGTCTGTAGGTGAGAGAGAGAGAGAGAGAGAGAGAGAGAGAGAGAGAGAGAGAGAGAGAGAGAGAGAGAGAGAGAGAGAGAGAGAGAGAGAGAGAGAGA